AAGTATAATCTATAAGTCTGGAAGCAAAAGTTGTAACTTTACAAGTACAACCTATATTTAACCTTACCTTGTTATTGGCTAGAATTAAGTAAATGTTATTCATTCTTGCCATTATCAAAACACCATTCAATGTTAGTAATGACTAAGCATCGAAGATTCAAAAACATGGAATAAATGTTATTCTATGCTCCATTGAGTCATAATGTGTTTTGAATTGCTAAATAAGTTTAAAGTTCTATATGATAGAATTAATTAAACCATTTCTATATATAAATTGTCTCTAAAATGTCAAATAATTAGAACAAAAATGAACATTGCATCCAAAAGATCCAAAGGGATGGACTTTCAATATCATTAGATTATGAATCCATTGATATATGTAATCATTCTAATTTGAAATTTTAAAAAGTCACCATTTTGAGAAATGATGATGCGAACTCGAGGTCGAATACATATTGATGTACGAAAACCAAAGGTTCAAAGGCTAGAGACGAACAATGAAACTTCATTTGTGATACGATCACTACTTGTGCTTAGTTGAAGCATAAGAGTGAAAACTTTAAAAAATTCAAAATGTTCAGTATGAAGTTCAGTATCAACTTGACAAGATAATGATTACATTACAATATGATTGTAATTGTGAAAATTTAAGTCAAGACATATAATTGGCAACACATTCAAAGTATTGCGATATGATCGTAATAATGAGAATTTAAGTCAAGACCTTGATGAACATCCAAGAGTTGTGAAAACGTTTTACGACAAACTCTGAAAGAAAACCTTGTGAAGTGTTTATGAAGGGAGCTATCAATCTATATCAGATATATATTGATAATGGATGAAAATTACTTATCTTCTAACCATTGTTCAAGGGAAATACTTTTAAGATAAGCTACAAAACTAAACAAAGAAACATTGGTCAAATCAAAATGTAGCAAAGCTTTCATATGTGATATGGATAAGAAAAGTTCTTCTAAAGTCTTTCTACAAAGCAAGGAATAAAAGCTGTATTAAATTGTTTGATACACGTTCGATTCCTACATAGAGCACGGGGTACTACTACACAACCATACTTAGCACAAAATGTTTGTTGCTCAAGTAGGTGCCCTTATGAAAATTGTTCCAAAAGGTCAAGTGGGAGTAGTATAAATCTCGAAAGAGTTCGAGAAAAGAAATAAACAAACATGGCTCAAACCATGGTTGGTTCAACCTATGCTAAATGTGCCTCCTCAAAAGGCAAGTGGGAGTATAAAAATCTTGAAAAGTTTGAGAGCCTTGAAAATTTCAAGAAAAGTGAATTCGAAAATCTTGAAGAAATTCGAGAAGTAATCGAATAAAAGCAACAATATGAGCATGGTTCACCTCATGTTACAAATGAAAACGCGTGGTCTCATTATGTGTAATGGGATTAATAACCGTGTGTCGAAGGTAGTACATTCCAAGTGCAAATCCTCTATTGTCATTTCTGATTGAAAACTAAACAAAGTTGTTATATGAGTTTCAATTTTTGCATCAAACCCATAATGATGACTAGCATACGTAAAACTTAGCCAAAGAAATATGATTTCATATTGACTAAAAGTTCTAAAATATTCATTTTGGAACATGATGATTATGCAAGTAATAAAGATGATTTGACAAGTTTATGACTCTAAGTGGTTTAAAACCAAGAAATCTGAAATAGATTCTAAATCTGTAAGCAAGTGTATGACACTTGAATAATTTGCCTAATTGAGTAAGACTCATTGTAAGCAAAGCAGACAAGGAAGAAAAATGTTTTCTAAACAAAGCAAAGACTTGTTACGGGATTCACCAAATTCATAGTATGACTGTGACTACGATGAAACCTTTACATTAGTTATGTTGCAAAGATCTATTAAAGATATTTTAGTGATTACTACCTTATGAGATTTGGTAGATGGATTTCAAAACGCTTTCTTGAAATTGTTCATGAAATAAGATTTGTATATGATACAATCAAAAGTTTGAAAATCCAATAATCCTAGGGATGCATAGCATCATGGAGTAGTGTTCTTAATTTTGTGATTTAATCAAATCGTTTTATGTTCTCGTAAAATTAAGAAAAAGGTCTTGTGTATACAAGATGTTTAGTGGGAGCTATGAAGTCTTCTTGGTCTAGTACAAAGAGCAATTATTCATTGCTTGAATAGTCAAGTGATGGTTATGATGAGTATCATTTATGGCACTCATTTGGCCTCTTTTAGGATGATTTTCATGCTTCTTATTATCCCTTTTCCTTAGTTTTTCCTTAGTTTTGTTCTTTATTTCGTTAGTTTGTGCTTTCCATAGTTAGTTTCCTTGTTTTGTGCATTTCTTTGTTTATTTGTTCTTTTTCCCTTTTATTTGTTTGTTTTCGTTTATTTTTAGGTTATGATCGTGTCTCCAAGGATTCCCGAGCTTTCCTCTCATCAAATTGGATGCCTCATGTTCGCCTTTCGGAGCTTCAAGTTTAAAGGAATGCAAAGAGCAAGTCAAGAGATCGGTGCACGTATGCGGTGGGGGCGTAATCTTTGCCATGAACCCACCAAAATAGGCCCTCTCAAGACTGCCCACCTTGGTGTTCATCATCATTATAAAGTCAAGCCCACGATGATGAGCTTGGAAGAAGAAGAGGGGAGCTCCCCTGCTGCCAGGTGCGGGCGCACACGAGGGTGGTGCGGCCGCACACCTGGGTGGCGCGGGCGCGCCTGCCAGGGTCCCTGTTCCATACCCTTTTTCCCGCGGCCACGCCTCTCCTCTGATGCGACCGCGCCTTCCGAGGTTTCTTTTGGGACGATCTAACTAACTCTTCTTTTATATCCTTCCTATATATATTTTTCCTTCTATTTTAGGAAGAGAGCGAATTAGAACAGAATTAGAATTAGTTTTTGATCAAATTAGAGAGATTTTTAGAGAGAGAAACTCTAGGTTTTAGTAAGAGAATTTCATGGTGGATTGTTGATGATTGAAGCTTTCCTTAATTCCTTTGATCTTTGATCAAGATTGTAATATTTCCTTTTCTTTAATTCAATCTTTAGTTTGATTTCAATTGTTTGTTGAATGTTCAAGTTTGAGTGAAGATTAATTGATTTGTGTTTGATTTTAGCTTGTTTGATTTGATCATGATGAATTTGTTGCTTAGTGTTGTTTTGATTTTGATTTCAATGGCTAGTGAGTAGATAGCTTGCTAGGGTAATGGTGAAGCATGTGTGAGTAATGGATTAAAGCTAATTGGGGAAAATTGATGGAGCTGACTATGTGATTAAATTGGTTGATGATCATGTGCATGTGTGTGATTAATTAAAGAGTAGCTAACTTTGATTGTTGCACTAGATTGCATTGTAAGTTCACATTGATACGGACCATTGATTTGTGGCTTGCATTTACACGATTGAGGTGTTTTGTGATGTTTCCTAGCTAGAGTTTATCGTAGTTGACGCTAGTTAGACCTCTAGGAGAATAGCTTGATATGTTGTTTTGGTTGCATGATTGATTTTTCCTTACATAGCTTGACTTAGTCAATTTCACCTCCCAATTAGTTGAATCCGTTATGATTACATGTGGATCCTATCCCTAGTGTTTATTACATTTGATTTCTTCTCGTTTATTTGTCGTCTTTGTCCTAGCATAACATTCACACCTAATCATTACATTTTAGAATAGCTTGACCATAGACAATAGATAATCGCCCACCATTCCTTTGGGTTCGACCCTCAACTTACCATTATACTTCTGTAGGGGTGTGTTGAGTGTTTACAAATTTTGTTTGGCCTTGGGTAGGGGTTAGTTTCAACGACCTAGCTTCAACCCGCGTCAAAATGGCGCCGTTGCCGGGGAATGGCGTTGTGATTTTTTATTGTTGTTGAGTCTATTCCATCTTATTCAAAAAAAAATACAAAAATATTTTTCTTCTTTCTTTTAGGCTAAACTTGTAGCCGTGTTACTAACAATTTCTTTTGAGCTTTCGCATGCATAGTAGAACTCGTGTTAGGACCTTAGTTCCTTTGGATCCGGAAATTAAAAGAACTCTTTCACGAAGAAGGGTAGCCAACCGATCTTTGAGCCTAAGTTCCTCAAGTAAAGAAGAATTTGAGGAAGAAGAAGAGCAAGCCATGGAAGAGAATCCAAGAGTAGAATGGGAGAGAATCTAAGAGAGAAGCCATGGGAATTCCCGGTGCTTATAGGTTTGAGAGTGGCATTGCTCCACCTACAACACCGGCGAACGATTTTGAAATTAGACCGGCCATGATTACTTTGATAGAATGGAGGCAATTTAGTGGAGCCAAGAGTGAGAGCCCGTTGAATCACCTAAAGGAATTTGAGAAGTATTGTAATACTATCAAGGTGAACGGAATTTCTCAAGAGTTTATTTGGCTAAAGTTGTTTCCCTTTTCTCTTATTGGTCATGCTTAGAGTGGTTGGATAAGGAGGTTAAGCCAAATTCCCTTAGGACATGGAATGAAGTCACCAAAGCTTTCTTGTCTCGCTTTTACCCACAAAAGAAGGCGGCGAAGGCTATCTAGAGCCTTGATCCAAGGATTCAAACAAAGGCCTAATGAGAATCTCTATGAAGCATGGGAGAGGTACAACGAGTACCAAAGAGAGTGTCCACATCATGGAATTCCTACCTATCAAGTGATACAAGTTTTCTATGGAGGCTTGAGTGCTCAAGGCAAGTCATGCCTAGATGAAGGAGCCGGAGGTCCTATAATGAATAGGACGGAAGAAGAGGTAGTTGACATAATTGAGGATGTGGTGAGATACTATAGAGATTGGCAAGAAGGAGAGAGAAATCTACGAGCAAGAGTGACTCGGCGGTTTATTCGGTGGATCATCTCAATGCAATTAACAACTTGTCTTCCCAAATTTCAAATCTAGGGAAGGAAGTGACGTCGATCAAAGCAAAGCTTGAGAGTGTTTCTACGAATTCATTGAGTCTTCCTTCCCAATCTAAAGGGAGAGGTTCATTTTCTAACTCTTGTCCTTCTACTTCCAATAACATGCCAAGTGGTTGTCTATTTTGTGATTCTTGTGTATCTTATGATCATGACTCTTCCATGTGTTCTCAAACTTTTGTTGATGGATGTGATGATGTTGAAATTAATGAATGTGAACATGTGAACTTTGTGTCTAATGTCAACGGTGGTCAAAGGTTTGATGGACCTAAGAATTTTAGTAATAGGAATTCTCACCCCCAAGGTGGTTTCGATAACTACAACAATGGAGGCTATAGGAACCAAGGAAACCAAGGTTTTCGAGGTAACTATAACAACCAAGGATATAGTAATCAAAACCCGAGCCATGGGTATGGTAACCAAAGTCAATCTCAAGGCTATGGTAATCATTACCATAATGGTGGCAATAATCAAGGCCGTGGCAATTGGAACAACAACCAAAATCAAGGAAGTTTTCAAAATAACAACCAAAGGGGACCCCCACCCGGTTTTGCTCCAAAGCCTCAAGGCAATGGTGAAAATTCTTATTCCCAACCATCATCATTTAAGACAAATTTGGAAGAAATGATTGATAACCAAACCAAGATCATCAACACATATATGGCGGTGAGTGACAAGAAATTTAATGAGATGATGACTCATAACAAAATTCTTGAGACACAAATAACCCAACTAGCCAACACTCTAAAGGATTGTGCTAGTCCATCCTCTTTGCCTTCTCAAGGAGTGGAACCTAAGAAACCCGTTTGTTCTATCACCACTAGGAGTGGGAGAGTTCTTAATGAGGGAGCTTCTAGGTCCATTGAGGAGGATGAGGAGAGGAGTGAACCAAGAGTGGAAGTTGAGAAGGTAGAGTCTAAGAGTGTGAGTTATGAGGAGGTGCAAGAGAAAAAAAGGAGTAGTGAGAAAGAGCGTGAGGAAGTGCGGAGACCCGACCTTCCATACCCTTAAAAATTCTTGAGGCACAAAATTGATGAGCAATTTGGAAAGTTTATTGCTATGCTCAAGGAAGTTCACCAATCTATCCCCTTCACCGATGCAATTACCCAAATGCCTAGGTACTCTAAGTTCCTTAAGGAGATTTTGAGTGGGAAGAGAATGTGCAATGAAGTTGATTCGGTTGAAGTTGGGAGTTGTTGTAGTGCTTTCATTCATAATGAGTTGCCCAAGAAAATGGAGGATCCGGAAAACTTCTCTATTCCATGTGAGATCAAAAGGAAAATGTTTAATAATGCTTTTTGTGATCTTGGAGCTAGTGTAAGAGTCATGCCTTATTCCATTTTTAAGAAACTCAAGCTAGGTGAGCTACTCCCATCTAACATAACCCTTCAATTGGCCGATCGGACTATTATGATTCCAAGGGGGAGAGTTGAGGATGTTCCTCTTAATATAGGAGGGTTCGCTATTGCCGTTGATTTCATTGTTCTTGAGATTGCGGAAGATGATTATATCCCTATCATTTTAGGAAGACCTTTCTTAGCCACTTCGGGAGCCTTAATAGATGTGAAAGGAGGCTGTATTACCTTGAGAATTGGTAAGAAAGAGGAAAGCTTTGAGTTGAAACCAATGCATGAGTCTTTTTCTCTTGTGCAAGAAATTATGTGTGCTAATTCCCCTCGCTCTATTGATAATGTGTGCATGATTAATTCTTAAACTAACGATGTTCTTGAGAATTGTTATGATGTTCTTTCAAGTTTTGATGGCAAGAAGGTAAGTGAAGAGAAAATGATGATTCCCAAGCTAACGGAGGAGGAGGAAGTTGAAATCCCTCATTGGTTTGAGCTCTATCCTCAATATGGAGAGGATGTTTCCATGATTATGGATGGAGAGAAACCATCTACAATAAGCAACAAGCCAAAGAAAAAAGCTCGTGATTCTAAGAAGAAGAGAGAGAGAAAGAAGTTACGGAAAGAAAAATTTGCAATTGGAAAGTATTTGAAGGAAGTTTCATCAAGCAACAAAAAGAGGTTTCTACCTTGAAGAAGGTGGTGTTCTTTGACCCTCCATGATTTGGAGGAAGGGTCGAGCTTAGGACCATAAGCAAGCGCTTCCCAGGAGGCAACCCGGAGATTTCTAACTTTTCTTTTTTATTTTTGAATTTCTCTTATTTTTCCTTCTTTTATTTTCTTTTCTTTCACTTTTCTACTTGATTGGATTTGTAGGTTGCATTTTTGGGATTGGATTTCATTAAGTGAGCATGAAGAATGAGAAGGTGTTTTGTGGTTTTTGATGTGATTATACTCGATTTTATCGAAATTTGAGGTAAAAGGGTAAGAATCTTGGTGAGGTAAGTTAGGGATTTTATGCTTTAAAGTTGAAGGAAGTTTGCACTTGGTGGGTTCTTATGGTGGGTTCATGAAATCCTAGTTTTAAACCCACTAAAACGGGATTTTGTTACTTCCTATGTTGGTGTTTATCATCATTATTATTCGTGTACCCACCAATGAACGCACCAAGAGCTTAAAAAAATAAGAATATAGACCTAGGCTGGGCTCAGGTGCGGGCGCGCACGCATTTGGTGCGGCCGCGCACCTGTCTGGTGCGGGCGCGCATCCAGCTGGTGCGGCCGCGCACCTGGCTGGTGCGGGCGCGCATTAGCCCGAGCCTCTTCTTTATCTTCCTTCCTTCCTTTCTTCTCTCATTTCCCCTTATTCCTCCTTCATAGTTTTGACCCCCATCATCCTCAAACCCTCAAAACCGCACCACTACCTTCAACAACTCATCAAAATTTCAACTCAAATCACTCAAATTTTCACTCCAAATTCACTAAAACCTTCTACATTTCCATCCAAATCATCAAATTCATACTACTTTCATCAAATTAAACCTCCAATCTCTCTCATCCATACTTGGGTACAATTTGGGGTTTTTCTATTTGGTGGATATTGGTGGTTAAAAGTGGTTCAATCTTGCTTCATATATGGTATAATCATCTTCTCTAGCTTTTAATTGCTCAGTTATGTCATATATTTGCAAGTTTTGATTTGTTCATGAGCATGAATAGTGGTAGTACCAACTTTGATGATTTTGATAATTGATATTGGTTTTTGGTTGATTATTTGAGTTGTTTGTTGTTTGATTTTACCTCACATTGTGTTGTTTGTTGATTTTGTAGCATTTGTGAGCAATTTTGTTGAGAATTTTGGAATTTGAATTTTGGTATGTGGGTAGTAAGGTGCTATTGTGGTATTGGTGGTTCTTCTTGTGATTGTGGATTGTTTGGGAAGAAATTGTTGGATGTTTGGTGTTGTTTGGTAATTTGGATTGGAATTGTGATTTGTGGATATTGAAGTTCTTGGTTGGAGATTTTGCGGATTGTTGTGGGAATTTTGTGATTGGTTTTCTGTGATCCTTGCACTTGAAATTCATCATGTCGAGAGTCCTTAAAAACCTTGTTAAGAAACGCAAAACAAACGCTTCCACTGATGAACCTACCCCAAGCACATCCTCCTCCCAAACACGTAACCCTACTCCACCACCCAAAAGAAAACTCAACGATCAAAAACACAAGAACTGGTACCATAAACTAAAAGAAAACCGCTCCCTCAAATCCACAAGACACTACTTTCAATCCGACATGTCCGCATTGGGGATTGATGAGGATGTAAGGGAGTTGTTGATCAACCTACAAATGGGCACATTCATCTCCCGTAGCTATTACACCTATGTTGAGCCCACTCTCGAATTCTTTGCTTCAGTTGAGATAGTTCCCGTAGAGGGTCAATATAGGGTTCAATGCCAAATTTTAGCTTCTTCGACCTCTCCTTAGAGCAATTCAATGCCGCTCTAGATTTTGATCCTCATGGTGACATTTTGGATCTAGAGCCTTATATTTTTTAGGAGTATGATCAGGATTCTTGGTGGGACGATATCTCCGGATGTGGTGAGTTTGTCACCAAGCGGGCCAAGATTAGCAATGTCTACCAACCTTGTCTTCGGGTTGTTCACCGTCTTTTGGGGTACTCGATTTTCCCCAAGCAAGAGTTGGGCAAGATGAGCAAATTGAAGCTCAAAATTCTTTGGTTGGCCACTAGAGGAGAATATCGTGGCCGGTTGAACTTGGGGTACATTTTTGCCACCTATTGTGTAGCCTTGCAAGACCGGGACACCGGGGAGATTCCTTGTGGGGGAATGGTCACTAGGCTCTTGACCAACCTCCACCTTGATCATCATTTGCCTTATTGCAAGCCGGTTGGAGATGCCGACTCCGTGTACCTTGATATGAAACAATCGGGGCAAATTCAATTTATCTCCAAACATTATAAGGAGGGAAATTATGAGTGGCTTCGGGATAACAAGCATTGGTGCTACCTTCCCAACCCATCTTTGACATCTCTTCACCGGACGGACACCCTTAATGTGTGGCATGTCCCAAGAGCTTCCGCTGCCCATTCTTTAACTCCGATGAGGAAGAAGAAGAAGAAGAAGAAGAAGAAGAAGAAGAAGAAGAAGAAGAAGAAGAAGAAGAAGAAGAAGAAGAAGAAGAAGAAGAAGAAGAAGAAGAAGAAGAAGAAGAAGAAGAAGAAGAAGAAGAAGAAGTTGAGGAAGAACAACAACAGCATCATCAACAACAACAACAACAACGTCAACAACAACAACAAAAACAACAACATCAAGGGCAAACGCAACAACCTCAATTTGCTAGCCTCGACTTGGAGGCCCTTAGTAACCAAATGAGTGGGTTACAAATCCACTTGGAGGGCATGTATGACCAAGATTTTGAGGCCCTCTACTCCCATATGCGAGGTATTTCCGAAATGCAACAAGGTATGTTCATTCAACAACAACAACTTTATGATGCGGAGGTTAACCGAGGGAGCATCACTCCCCCGGTTAACTATCCTTACTTTCCGCCCCAGCAAGGTCCTATACCTTCGCATGGGCATCCTTATTGGCAAGGGCCTTTAGAGCCAGGTACCGAGCCCCATTCTTACCCCGGACGAGCGTGGTAACTACGATTACCGTGCTCCCGGAGGGTGTGACTATAGGGGTGACCCTAATTACTCCTATGTGCACCCTAATCATCCATTTGAGCTCACCTTGCCCGAGCAATTCACACCTCTTGCCCCTTGGCAACAAGATAACTTCAAGGGGCATTATGGTTGGCCCGAGGGATTCACCGGAGGTTGGGCTCCTTACTCACCCCCAACCTTCGATAACTACATGGGCAACAATGATTCTAATGAGGCCGGGCCAAGTGGTGGTGGTAATGATGAGTCTTAGGTCCCTCTCTTTTGTGCCTCTTACCTCCATCCCTTATGTTTATGTGCTTGATTTGTATTGTTGGGATGTTGAGATGTATTCATGTTTAGCTTGGTGGAAATTCTTTGTATCTCGGTTGCCAATATTTGTTGTTGTTGCATACCTTGAATTTTAATTGCCTCTTGCATGATGGTTTCCTTATCTTGGTCTCTAGTCTTGTTGTTGTTTGTTACTAGTCCCATGAGTTTGTTTTGCCATTGTTGTTGTGATGATTTCCTTGTGATGATGTTGATTGTTTCTTGCTCCCTTATATCCAAAACCCTTGAATCTAAATCCCTTTGAATCCAAAACTTGTAGTTTAGTACCTTTTAGTTAGTTAGTTGTTTATTTGTTTACTTAGTTTTTCTTTACTTTCCGTTTTAGTTTTTGTTAGCCTAATTTTGCTCAGTTGTTGAATGTTTTTGTTAGCTTAGTTTAGTTTTACTTTTTAGTATCTTTTTCTTTTGTTTTGAAGTTACTAACCTTTTTCTTTGTTTATAGCTTCTTTTACTTTTCTTGTTCTCACACGGCTTTTTGATGATGCTTACGATTTTGGAGCGCAACGATGGTGGTTCTTTCTTTCACCTTTGTTTATTATGCTAAGCATGGATAGCCCGGTGAGACCTTTATAATTTTTCTCTTTATTTTCTTTGGATGCATAGATTAGGTTTAGTTTAGGGGAAGTTGAACGGTTCGAGGATGATTGCTTG